TGTCGATCGGCGGTCGATCTTGTTTTGGTCTGATAGCATCGATATTCATGAATTGTTAGCTCGTCAAGGTCACCGCGCCTATCGCCGCAGCCGTCAAAGAAGTCTGTATTTTCCGGGCCAGCTCAGGTAATTCGATAAACGTTCTTACATGTACGAAGCTGCATTCATTCCCGAGATTGACGTCTTGATGAATGGCATGGCCGGTCCATGCAGACAGGTATTCGATCCAGAACGAATATCGCAGCTCTGGTTCGATAAACTGTCTGTATGTCGAAAAGACTTCGACGACATCTCTTTCAGTCGGGTGTGGGATCGGATATGTCTTGGGCGGAACCCAGTATCCCAGCGAAAAATATGAGAGTGTTCGGGCAAGGAGAAGCCGATAAGTCGTTGAACTCGTTGTGTGAGATCTGCGAAGGGTCTGTTCTATAAGCAGTGAGTGCAAAATCAGGATGGATCTCTTATGTTGTAAGACGACACGGGGCCTAGAGTTCCCGGTAGGAGGCGAACTGAACTGTGGGCACCGGCGAGAAGAAGGGGGTTGAGAATCGACGTCCAGCTGGGCTATCGTTCACCTCTTCAAGCACACGCGTACGCGAACTCGTCCCTCGTCGACGCATACGTCTGCTCGCGTCCGCCGGCCGAGTCTCACAGAAACCGACAGAGTTCTAATGAAGCTTCCGGATTCACGCATCCAGCCATAGCTACGATACAGAGTGTCGACTTCTTGGAGCACGTTCAATATAGCTTCGGCGACACTACACGACATACCTGTCGATCACTCAAGAGCTTCGACAGCCGGTTTGTGTGTTTGCATTTTCTGCAATTGTCGGTCGCGTCTGCGCTTTCGTCGCCGGAGAAAAACAGCATAGATCAATCACCGCGTCACAGGACGAAAATTGCTCGGATTCGTTCCAGGGAGAGCTACCTAGTCCTCAGAAAACCTCTTGACAGAAGGTACCGCTCACGAGTTGGCAGCAGATGTGGCCAATATCGGTATCTATCCAGTATTCGAAATTGGGAAACTTCGCACCGGAACCACAACTTCTCCCGGGTATCCGTCAGGTTTGTTGATGTTGTCGTTGCTGTTGACACTTTGTCAACTCACCTTTCGATATGAAGAGACAGACCACTCTTGCGCCTTGGGCCAGGTTCTAGATCCTGGAACCACTCTGGCTAGCGCGAACACTACGCTCGATTGGGGTATATCCCTGCGTATTTAATATTGCCGAATAAGTTCCTCGGGTGCGATGAAGCACTCCGTTTGCGGAGGCCAAACACGTCACCGTGTGATTCCAAGGGGTAAGCACAGAGTTTGGCGCACAGAAAACCTCGCAATAACTATTACTTATATCAGTTAGGCACAAAAAGGGGCACCTGATGAAGAATCAGCTGACCCGTCGACCAGCGGAGTCGAGCACGAGTGACGGCTCGGCTCTAGAGACCAACGCACGAGAATGCCAGGAGTGAGAACATGGCGTGGATCAACGACTCCCTTCGCCGAGAAGACTCTCGCACCGCGCATGCGCGTCCTGAGGTCCCCTCGCTGTCGCGTGCCTCCCTCTGGTGAGCACTTCATCAACTCCAGGAAGAACTCATTTCAGAGTCCCTTCTCCGCTAGGACGGCAGACGAACGTGTGACACACGCAGCAAGGGCAAAGATCGAACACATTCGATATTAATGTGAAGGATTTGATCAACAACAATCAAACGAACAAAGACTTCGACAGAACCCAGAAACCGTAAACTACACCCTCCGATATGGGTACCACGCTGATAACGCTTGCTCTCCCTCCTTTTTGTTAATGGCTTCCTTGAACATCTTCTCCCTGATTTGTCGTCAACACGGGAATGAAGTTGCGTGGAGAACATGTAATACGAAGCGGGGAAGAGGGAGGGGAAATCGGTTGTCCTCATCGATATTCCCTGTTCAGGATAGAACATCCGTAGGTTGGGCTTCCCGCTATCCTCCAACATAGGAGACCCCGTGGTGAAAGAGAGCGCTTCTCCTCGCGGTTGAGAGCAGGGTAGGGGACCGAAGGCTGGCAAGCATAGGCCAGGCTTCGGCCCAGATTCAGGCCTAGAGATGGTACAAAGAACATTTTGGGGTGTGCCAACACAAGCGGGACGTGGCGCCCGTTTGTCCTCAGTCGTACTGTTCGTCCAGCTGCTCCCAGTTGCACGGTCAGCAGCTGGCCAATCTTGACGTGCTGTACGCAATCAGTGAAGTATGTCTTCACAAACGACGTTCTCAACTCGAAGCCGCGACTCCTCTGAACGCGAAACCGAATGCCGGAAAAAAAAATACAACATACAAATCGGAAGCTCGTCGCGAACGATTTCTTTCGGAATTCTGAAGTCGAGCTCAATGAGTGTGGTTATCATTGTTGGAAGAGAGCCGATCTCTTGCGGATGGACTCAATCTCCGGAGGCTCGCTCGAAACATAGGTTTCGGACACATCATCTTCATCGTTTGACCTCTCCCCCCTCCCCTCAAACTCTCTTTGCGAGTTTCAATCTGGACTCTTTCAAGCCGCGAATCGGGCGTTCTCCACGCTATCTCGACTGGGCGTGATTGCGCGGCAGAACTCGCGTCTGTTCGTGATGGGTTGCAGTGTTTGCGAGACTCACACGCTCTTCCTTCCAAAGCGCTTGGGCAGAATCACATTGTATCAGCGTCCAGTCAGAAGTCCACTGAGCTACGCCTCCTTGCTCTAGAGCTGTGACAGGTTTCAGACTGACCGAGCGACGTTCGGGGCAGATGCTGTCATGATTTCCGCGATATGTGGCCCACGGTTCTTCGAAAATATGAATTGGCGAGATTTTTCCGGGTATGGGATACCTACTAACCTCTACTCAGAATTTCGCCCCCTGTCTCACCTCCGGAGGAGCAAGCAGAACTAGCAAAGCTTGGTCGACCACTCGGAATTCATACGGGAAATCTCCGATGACCACATTCTGATACAAAAGGGTGAGGAACTTCGACCCCGTCGTGATTCGCGGTTGAATCCTATCAAGCGAATCGACGAGGCTATGAACGTGAATTCGTGAGCGGCTTATGCATTCTAATATGGCTTTGGATCTGGAAGATTAACCGCGTGTTTCACGAATACGGGAGATGCGTCTTCCTGAAAATTCCGGTTTCTTGACGCTGAGGATTCTCGCAGCAGGTAGGCTCGTCTCGAGCAAAAAGCTGATTTCCAATCTCGTTCTGAAGCATTGTGCGACGTCTCACGAGCGCCGTCGTCTTCTCTCAGACCAGCTAGCCAGGGCTACGACGATCCCATGATGTTTTTTTTGGGGAAAAATAATCGCTGCTCGTTGCGCAGCCGTACACGCAATCCTCGGATTTCGGCGCATAGATCGATTCGTTTTGGAGTGCTTGCTGGGCCGAACAGGAGGATCTCTAAATTCGCTCGTCTCGGAAGATTGGGTCGTTTTCTCGATTTGCTGGACTTCTGCCCTCAGAACGAATCCCAGCGGATCGATTCCCGAGGTTCGAACCCCGAACCGGAGGGTTGTCCGGAGAGGCGGCAACGAGTGTTCCAGGTGTCTCTGACACCAGACGATCCCTCAGAAGAATTTCCATTGAAATCGCCGCGATGAAATTCCGTTCACGATCCCCCACAGGGAGCCGTTCCCCTCATCTGTGGGTAGGCAGAAGCCTCCCTTGTGGGACGACATTCCCCCCGATGAATGTTGGTCTTCGGCTGGAAGATGGAACGCCTCCAGCGATTTGTACGAGTCTCCCTCTCTCGCTCTGACAAGCGGAGTCTGGAGGCTCAGATTCCATCAGAGCTTTTGTGCCCGTAATAAGCGTGCTGTCGCACGACCCAACGTTCTCCCGGGGCCCCGCAGACCAGACCTCAATATCTCCTAGAAGTTCCAGCGAGGCGGAAATAGCAGAGCTCGGTGGCAGCCTCTCACCCTGACGAGCAGGGTCAGGAGACCAGAGGGTGCGGCGGCCGCTGCTGCTTCTCGTTACGGTTCTGGGAAGGTTAGATCTGGGAATACCCTCCCGGCTTCATTAGCGTCCCAATCCCGAAGGCGATTGAAGGTCGATAGTGTGCGAAAAACTTTTTTTGCTCGGTCCCGATGTGACGTTTAGAGTCGACTACTGTTGCTTCATTTGCCGCCTGAAAGATTCGTTCGAGTTCCCTGCGATCTAGGCCGGCGGGGACGATGTCCTCCGCGGGAGCCTTCGTATTGGATTCCAACCTAAACACTTCTGCTTCGGCGAGCATCAAGCTTTCGATTGAGGGCCAGCGAATGAGCGAGCGGACAGGCGGGCAGGCGAACTGGCTAGCAGCCACGCTCGCCTGCCTCCTAGGAGCTCAAGATGCGTTGCACACCTTGAACGCTTGCCCTCTCGTCTTCACATTCGTTCGCTGAGTCACTAACGAGATTAAACCCCTATTGGATATCGGCAGCTCCTCCTCGGGGCTACACATCCCGGTCCCGAGGTCTATGAGTGCCCGTTGCTCAAAGGCAAAAGAAACTTCAAAGCACGGTAGTGGATATCATCACTTTCGGTCACCGATCTGCAAATATCCACGAGCGTCTGGGGAGACTGGGCGAATCACGTTCGTGGAGTCCTCCGATCGATGTATCGACAGTGATGGAGTAACTGGCGAGAGCAAGAACACGACGACCGTTTCGGAAGCCCTAGCATAATATCCATAATAATCCCGATTGAAAGCGATTCCATGAGCGCGCACCTCATGATCCCCGCTCCGATATCTTGGAATTCCTAACCTGCTTCACCATTGGAAACCTCCGGCCATGCTCCTCCAAGTTAGCCTCGGCTCCAGGATTTGCTGAATGAAATCGACGTTAGCTTGGCGACGATATCGCAAGAGAGAATCGACTATCTTTTTTTCGTTGCATCAAATACATCGATTGCCTTGTCGTATTTGATCATCTCGGGCGTGCATTTGATTGCAGACACATCCCGGTCGAATCCGAGCGCCGCCAATCCGATGGAATCGCGGCGGGTGCCTTCACTTGAGGCGAATTTCCTCGGACAGCTGATCGGGTTGACGGCCTTCCCTGCGATGGCCGAGCATCCAGGTGATGACTTTTTTTGCCGCATCCATTGTCGACTCTACGTCTGTCGGGCTGCCAAGCCGTGGGTTTACTTCCACCATGTCAAGGACTCTCAACGTCTGAGTGGATACCACTGTTTCAGCGAGTACGGCAGCTTCTCGCAAAGTGAGTCCACCAGCCACAGGGGTCCCCGTGCTCCTCGCTTGAGTCGGATCTAGAGCGTCGATGTCAAAGCTCACATGCAGGGACTTGTCTCCTCGGGAATTGACAGCTTGTAGAGCCATCTCAGCCACTCTCTTCATTCCCAGTGAATCAACGTCACGGATTGAGAAGCTCGTTATCCGTAATCTGTCTAAGAACAACCTTGAAGCAGAATCATCTCTCTGAGTATCACATCAAGTCATTTTCATTTGGGAGGGAAAATAGCCGTGCGCCCTGGACCGAGCGGGGTCCCGAAGCAAGGAAAAATGTCCAGAGTAGAAAACGGGACGAGATCACGACCCCTTTCGAATTCCAAGTCGGCATTATTCACCTTTCGGAAGGATCCAGGTCTCTCAGTCCGATGAAAGCAATTGATTCTGCTGCCACGGTTGGAGTCCATCCCGAGAATTCCTTGAGCGGAGGGAGGTACTTCGTCATCTGGTGTAACGTAAACGAAAGCGGCATGCCGTGCCATGATCCTGTGAGTGACGTGCTTGGCGTATTAATGTCTGCGTGAGCGTCTACCCAGAGTACGGCCACATCCTTGCCGAGGGATTGAGCGAAATCCGCGTGGCCGGCCACTGTTCCCATTCCGACGGAATGATCCCCTCCGATGTTGACAAGAACTGCACACCGCTCAAGACTCGCCTTCACGGACCGCCGCACGAGTTTCGCGCTCTCGGCCATGTAGCGAAGTTGGTCCGTCTCGCCGCATTGGTCAAAGTCGACATCGCCGAAATCCCGTGGCTCCGAAGTATTGCTGATTTCATCGAGCAGACCTCGTCGGCGGAGTTCCTCGGGGGCGAGTTCTGTGCCGTTCTTTCGCTGTCCGCGCCAAAACGGCAAGCCGAGCACACCAACAGTCTTCGGGATTGCGGTGCTGAAATGTCTCCGGAGTACATGAAAGCGCGAAAATCTAGCCACTCTCGTCATGCTTGTTCCTAAATGTCGGCCCGTCTTCGAGGGTCAGGCGGTCGGTGATATCGAGACGAGCGAGGGTCCTATTGTAAACGGTCAGCCGGTTGTCGACCATCCGGGTATGATGATTATTTCTCGGCAAACACCGGGTCGAGTGAAAGCTGTGGTCGGATGGATAACCTTATTGTGGATGCTCCCGGATGAGAGGGAAGGAGCAGTGGCAAAAAGCACTCGGCTTGCAGACGGATATGATCATTCCATAGAGAGAAAGGCGATTCGTTGAAATCTCGGGCGTGAATTCCCCATCCAACCCATTCTGAAGCCAATTTCGAGGATGAGACCCGAGCTGCTGGTGAGTTCGCGCTTTCCGCCAGCCGTATTCAGGGAGGCGGCCTCACTCAAAATGCAAACGATCATCTACATCAAACACAGCTTTCAGAGGAGAGGCAAACACCTGCCGATACGATTCCAGCATTGATCAAAAAATCATCAGAACCCGAGAGGATAGCTCTCGGCAGTTTCGGAATCCAACTCAGGAGGAGAAAGGAGGTGCGCACTCTCCGAGAAGATTCTAAGAAATTCTGACGAGGGATTCTCAAAGCCGCCCAGCGGATCACTGCCTTACGCCGAGTCTTCCCGTTCTGTCGCGCATGCTGAGATCCGAGATGAACGCTTCTCCGAGTCTGGACAGAATCCTCGGACGGGTTTTTCTGCGCCACGTCTTCGAGGATGTGACAGAATCATTGTGATCAAGGCGGCAATCCTCCTCTTTTTTCGGATTCTCCGATAGGAGCGAGCTCATCCGTCCATTGGTGATCGAGGAAATACGGATTTTCGTGAATATAGCCGAAATTCTCCGCCGCGGTTCGAAGCGCTGCGCTGTGCGGAATGGGATGATTCCTCAAGCGCGGCTGCGACAAGCAAGCTTAATGATGCGCAATCAAATCAGATTCACAGCGCTAAAAAACCCACATTTCATGGGACAGTGCACCAGGAGTGAAATCAGTTCCGAAGACGGACGAGTCTCTACTTCACCCCGCTCCGAACTCCGCTGCTCCTGAGCAGACCATCTGAAAGCAAATAGAAATCGCGAAAGGGTATCGTCTAGACGGAGCGACCGCACGAAACTAGTTGTGGGAAATTGAAAGCGCGAACATTTAGGATCTCTGAGCAAACATCTCGTTCCTCTGCTAATCGGTTTCCTCTGGCTGTGCAAATAATTCCCCAGCGTACTCTGGAATCCTTTTTAATCGAGCTTTCACACCGCCGGCCGAGCTCGTCAGCTCTTCAGCGTTCGTGAGAGTCTCATTTAACGCGCGATTGAATTAGATGACCTTCAGAAATCGGGCTTCCATCGGACTCGAGGCGTTCCCCCGTTGGTTGCCGCGCTTGGTCTTCAGAGGTCTCACGGACTGCGGGAAATTCTTGCCCGCCAACAGATTCGTTGCTGTGGCGGGGTTTCGAGGAAGAACCTTACCAGGGGATCTCCGTTTTTCCAGAAACAGAGAAAGAACGAAAATGATTGAAAAGCTCTCAGCGCTCAAGGCAGCGGCTGTGATGGTTAAGGGAAGTCCTGTGGATCGTTCACGGCTTGATTTCTCTTATGGTGATTGATGGAGTGCGTACGACACATCCAGTCAGCAACAGCTGAGCAGTCACACAAGCTGCTCATGAGTCCTCGAGGAGCGGCTGAATGAGACGAAGAGAAACGGCCAGAAACGCAGATATTGATGCGAGACAATGGACACGAAAGACCCAACGGAGCCGACTCATCTTCGAGACGCCGTTCGGGGCACAATCTCTCCGTAGAGACAAATACTCTATTTTTATGGTGGCGCGCTAAAGTACAGCCTCTCAAATCGCCGTTTCTCTTGAGGCGCCGAACGAGTGAATCGATACAGTTCACAGCGCCACGTCCATCGGTCGCGCAGTCGGGGCAACAAAATATTTTCGCATCATTTCAATGTTTTTCCCCGTTCTGGCAGGCCGATGATTTCTCCCCTATCAGGGTGCTGCGCATCTATGAGATGTCGGGTCGACTCGAAATCACTTGCCCCGAGGGCCGAGTGAGAAGAATTCACTCTATCCGAACCGATGATCTCCGATGGATTCTCTGGTTCGTTATTGTTATTGTACTCTCTCACAGGATTCTGCCTGGATGCTGAAGCCTTGCCTCTAAAACAACTGATATATTATTCGTAAGTTATTTTAAATCCCCCGCGGTCACGCTCATATGCTGCGCCTCGGAACTGGACCTGCACGCCTGCTCCGGGGCCATGTTGATGATTCGTTGGCTGAACACAGCGGACTGGGCTGGTAGCAATGGGTCGCCATGCCCGGTTGGTCAAATGCTAGATTAAGATGGGCTCGCTTGGACGTTCGCTGAGCTGTACAGAGCGTAGCCCACTCCTTTGACTGCCGGAACGAAACGCGAGGTGCATGACCGCATCGACGGATGGAATACAAACAACTTCAAAGCGATGTCGAGCTCGCGTTGCGCGTACGCGATGCAAATTCGAACTGTTTTGTTCGTTTTCTCCTGACCCGGCGTACTTCACGAACATCTGTGTCGATCCTCTCGTGTTCCTGGCTCCCCGTGTGTCTCTCCCCCTACCTCAGTTCAGACTCGACTCCTCGTTCGTTCTCTCTCGCCGCACTGTGACTCGGTTCTCGGGTCACGAGCGACATAAAAATTCCGAATGTTTCTGCCAAGATTAGTACGTATCCTCAAACAACACAGGCTGGAATGCTCAAGAGACGATTCTATGGATGATCACCGGGGATGGCATGAAATGCGGTCTAACAATCTCAAATCTCTTCGCTAAAAATCGCGAAACGAGAAGTCCTCGCCCCAATTGTGAAACACGTCGACTGTCATTCCAGTGAGGAGTAGCGGCCTTCTGAGTTAGCATTTATATTGCGATCCGGTGCTGCTTCCGAACAGGGTCAGATTCGGGGACGATCAGACGACTCGGTAGCCGAGGTATACGGTCCGAGCGCCAGCCAATGCTATTGGTGCAGCCGTCGGAGAGGCGGATTTCTGCCAAAATACCGGATGGATTCTCTCTCTGGATCCATTTCCAATGAGAACGGCTCGCTCGTCTGTCCCCGATTCGGAATTATCCAGCGAGTATGATAGTGGAAACCTGGCTGGAAAGCAGCCGCCGCCGCCGACGACGTTCGTTACTTCCTTCCTTCCGGCTTAGCGGACGACATTTCCTCCGGCTTGTGATCGATTTGTTCCTCTTATTGAAAATACGTTCCTATCCGGCCGACAGTGACGGCACCACCAACGACGCCGGCTTCGAAGGTTCTTCCTCCAGAGCAAATTGTTCGATTTCGAGATTGAGCTGTAAAGCAGAATAAACCCTACCCGTTCACAGCCATGTGGAGCATTGCTGGGATCATCGGGTCGAAGGACGACGATTCAATAAATGAAATCGAGGGATGCGGGATTCATCGATATTGATATGTCTTCTCTCCAGCCAGCGTATTCCCCTCCCCGTGCTCGACACCTTCGAATGTAATCTCTTGAGGAAGCGGAGCATCAATCGTGTTGTTATGTCCGCTGGCTGCCCTCGTGAGCCCATGAGTCGAATTGGAAAACCGACTTCCGATCCGATAAAAGGACCCAAAGAAAGGCGCTCAAGAGTAATCGCTTGCATATCCGTGATAAGAGCGAACGACCATCAGCCGACTGACTTATGAATCAATCGAGGTGAGTTCGGCGATGCCAACTCTCTTTCGAGACTATCAGCGGTGTCCAGCCGAGATTGCTAGCTCCTGAGCGAGGCTTTCTTCACGAGACGATGATTCGAGGTCGATACCGGTAGAGAGACACGCCAATACCATCCTGGGCATATCTGGGCATTCGGTTTTGCGGTATTGACGATGCCGCGCTCAAATTATTGGTTCCTTCATTCTACGAAGATGCCTACTCCCTATTCCTTTCCCTTCGAATAGGCTTGAATTTCTCCGTACAAATGTCGTCGTTCTCCCGATGAACTCCTTCTTCGAACTTCGGTCGCGAGGCTGACGCCGGACCCACTGTTCACCAGCGCAAATTGAGGACTAGGATTCGAAACGCACGAAAAATCGGCTTTATTGTAATGTACAACATGTGACTTCCACCCTGTCTAATCGAGGGAGGCGGCTGAACCTAAACTAAACTTCCGGGGCTTCATTCTCCAGTCCCAAACGAACGACCAGGGAACACCACTCCGCTGTTCTCCGCGTCGCAGCTTCTTCCTCTTATTGTGAATCTCCCTGGCGCCCGTATCTTTTCAGTAGTGATGCTGTCGATATCTAACGGTTCCGGATCGCTAAGGCTCATCGAAATCATAGCGAAGACGAATCCGGTCTGATTCGGAACGGCATCCTCCTCCGGGCTCCCGAGACAACTTCAGGTACTCAATACGTCAAGGCAGCAACGTCGAAGAGGATTTATTATTAGTCGAAACCTTCAAGCACTAGTCATTCAACACTTCCGTCCCGTGCAGAGTTCATCGCCACCGGATCCCGAATCGGCGAGAGGGTCCCCTGAGACCCCTCGCATTCCCGCTTCGAGCTCTGTAGTCTCACTCCGAGAGTTGTTCACATGGAGCTTCCCGTTCGTTCGTCAAAAATTTAGAGGGAGCGAGTATTTTCGTAAATAGTGATAAGTCTCCCTCCCTGCGGATCCGATCGGCGTAAAGAAAAGCGCAGAAGACGGAACGCAAACATCAACATTGGGTTCGCAAGTCCGCGAGCTGATGTCGGTCCCTCTGGATGACCTCCACGAATGAGGAGGTATTGACCAACTGTTCCAAATATTCAATCCGACACACCGTCATTGATAGACCTTCAGGTCGACGCCGCTGAGCGCTCACAACTCCACCATTCGAGGCCCCGTCAAAATAGATGTCGTAGACCGCTGAATTCGTGAGGACAAATGTTGTCGTGGAACTAATGGATTAATAATCATGGTCCGCGGAAATAATGATGAAGGTATAATCGGGATGACACGTCCGTTGTGAGTGCTAAACACCAGGCGGACATCGCGTCATCGCTTTCTGTATTTGTCTTTGTCAGAGGAGCGCATCCATCTACCTCTTGTACAGCGCGTATCCCGCTCATATGTCTGGCTTCCAACTGTGTTCTCGCATTGAGCAACTTCCGTATCCCTTGCTCGAAACTTGTGGAAGCGCGCCAAGAAGGTTCCATAGTCTTCACATATATTGTCTTCACCGTTAGTCGGGGAGCTCCCGCTGGAGGCGCTTCAGAAAACTTGGGAGAGCTCGCTCCCCTGAGACCATAAACACTCGTTCGATTCCGTGCTCGTAAGTCAAATCATTCGTTGCAATCTTCTGATTTTTCCTTTGCTCCTCATCATCACCATCATCGTCGATAGTGGACTAAAGAAAATGCCTATATAGGTCTCCCTCTCGCTTTCGTTAAGGTAATCGACGAGGTAAACCTGATTGGGCGTGATGTATGTGAAATATCTTATTTCTTCTCAGCGGCTTTCTGTGCTGCAGCTACTCTATTTTGGTGTCCACCACCTCGTGAGGAGGAGTTGACGCGTTTGCGTTCATCTGGTTCACGTCGCTGGCTGCCTATGCTGCTCGTCGACGATGAAGTTCTCCTCCGCCCTGCTTCGGCGGCGCGCAGCTTCTGGTGCTGTCGCTGGCAATCTTGACGTCGTTTCTCAAGTTCCTTCTGATTGCGATCGTACTCTTCGGGCTAGAGAAGACAGAAAAGGAAATCAGTCAGAGGAGAAGGAGTTTTCAGGAAGTAATCGATAACCCACGAGCCAAAACAGCCTGGAACAGTGGAGGGCATGTCCGGAGTGAGCCGAGAGAGAACCTACCGAAACCTTGAAGTCATCGAGGGTTCTGAATTTCCTCAGAAATGCTTCTAAACGAGGTTCGACCGTCAACACGTGCGAGTCCCTATAGAACTTCCGAAAAGCCCAAAACTTCTCAAGTCCGTAGAGTTGCTTGTCTTCTGCGTCCGCGATGACCTCTTCTTGGAAGTCTGCGTACAGATCCGCTCGGTAGTGCTTCTCGAGCCCATATGAGTACATGCGGAACAAGCACTCGAGACCTGGAATTTTTCGTGGCTCAGTCAGTAATTCCCGACGATGTTCGACTTAGAGTCTCTCGGGCGCGAAGATTTCACGATGCAAGCGACAGGGAATCCCTGATTGGCTCCCTGCGAATCAGAATCTATAACTTACCGTATCTGAAGCCGTGTTGAGCGTCCTCTTTCGCGATGCGCCTGAATTCGCTGTACATGTTTTTGTTGAAATGATCCCTCAGGAAGTAAGACCAGAATCGGAAGAGGGTGTTCATCTCCAAACTTTGACCGATACCCAGTCGTTTGCGCTCTTTCATGCATTTGTTTTTGAAACGATGGTATGCTTGTTGCGTGAAACCACTCTCTTTCAAAAGGGCGTGAGACGGATGCTCGAACTTCGGCAGCGAATTAGGAATCGAACCGCAGCTCGATGCGAACGAGGGCTTGAGGCAGTCTGTGAAAGACGACGACGCGTCCGCCTTGGAGAGCTCTTGAGAGAAACTACCGCTTCTCGACGGTCGCTCGTCATGTTGCTTCGTATCCAGGATCCATCCCACGTGGAATTCCTCTGGTGGATCCTCGCCATGTCGCGTTTTCTGTTTCCGAGGCGTTTTCTGATCGACCGGCTCCTTAGTTTTATCTTTGACAACGGGATAAAACCTCGGAACCACTTTCGGATCTTTACAGAATCTCGGTGTGCGACCCGGTGTCAACGGGGGCCGAGATCGTGGCGTCGAGATCGGTGTAGCCATGGGGACGTGGCCCTGCTCAGAAATCTTCTCGAGGCTCTCCTTATCGAGTCCGTACGGAGGAGGAGGTGGCGGAGATGCCTGTTCACCCTGGTCTCCTCGCTTGAGCTCGCTTTTCGCGGGGCTTATCAATTCGACGGACCTGGGGAGACATCTGAGGTGAAACCCTGTGGCTGACAACTTGAGGATATCAGACGGCATTAAATAGAATTTCATCGGGATCCTTACTTGTATTGCATGTTTTCGTGATGATGAATATTGGTCCATAGATCTTCCTCGTAATAGTACAGTCCGTCATTTATTACTTGAGCAAGTTCTTGGGTGATTTTGGTTCTTGAGGTGAAGTTCGCTGTGCGATCGAAACCTTCATGTTTCTTCACACGACCCACCGGTGGTGTTTGAGTGACTGCGGAAAAGATCGTTCAGTTTTTGCATGTTCCGTCGAAGGAATCGAGGCGAAAATCGCGGTACACACCGGCTCTTCCCTTGTTTCCGACCGGTTTTCCTGTGCCTTGTTGCTATGGGGAGCGAAACGAAAATAGCGATTGAGTGCGTGCGAGCTCACCGATGATAATTTTCGAAATCTCTTCATCCTTGATCTCGTAATCATCGTCAGGATCATCGTCGGAATTCCACTCTTCAGTAAAGCGATTGCAGCGACCGCCTTCGTGGAGGAGATCTTCGTCCAGCTGGAACTCGAGCTCCTCTTTCTCGTCGGAGACCGCATTCGTCGTCGAGCACTCCAAGGGCTGGAAGAGAATGAGTCAGGTTACAGAATGGTGGCCGAGGGCCAAGATTGTATGAAGCAGGAGGAGAGCTCCTTCGTCGGTTTCTATGCGAGTCCACATACCGTTGCTTCCTTGCTGCGGCTCTTCTCCCGATTCCGGCGGTCCTTCTTCACCTCGGTCCACTCGCCTCTGGCCGCGTCGCCTTCTGTGATCTCTTCTTCTGCTTCTTCTGCTTCGATTGTTTCTGTTGTCGTCTCTGATTGAGGAAGGACCCGGAAAATATGACTTATCAAGATAGATTCTAAATTCCCAGCTGATCTATCCCGTATCTAAGAAGCTTCCACATGACCGCGAGATCTTCGCCGACTACCTAGCAGCAATGCCTAGGATTCGCACAATCATCCCGCGGAAAAGTTTGTGCAGTGAGTCAACATAGACTCTCCCCTATTCTTCCCCTAGAATTCTAACGTCGCTCGGACAACGGGACGCAAACGCCTCGGCGCTATGATGAGAGTTTCGAGAATAACAGATCACCATTGTCAAAAGATTCTTAAACCACAGACGAAACATGGAAGACGAAAAGCATGAAACGTCAATACGGTTCATCCGCACGAAGGAGCGAGGTCGGAATCGAGTCATCCATCATTCATTGGGCGGAAATCTGAAGAGCTTCAAAATTCAAGAGAGCCCTTCCGTTTCCGACGTTCCTGCCCGAATTCAGTGGACGAATCAGTTATTGCGGGATTGAGGGTTTCGGACACATAGCTCGAATGGTTCAAGGAGATCACAGCAAGCAGGCAGCACCGGATTATCGACGCGGAATCGGACATTCCCAGGAATCATCGAGGAATGAGTGACCCGCTTCTCGACCATGAGCCGTGATTGGGGTATACGATGCAGCGGCTCACAAGCGATTGGTTCATCGATATAGGGTTATTCAACCAGCACCATAATCGTGTGGAGCCCGAGACAATCGACCAAGTGATGGAAAACACGCGAATAGCAAAACTTAAATCTTTATTATTATTATCATCATCATCGGTATCATAATCATCTCCTCCAATTTCATCAACATTTGTCGTCTCTCCCCATGCTTCTTCGGGGCTCAGCGACATGTTCTGCATCATCGATATCGTCATTATCTCGATAATTAATCCTCTTCCCAGCATCAATCGATAAGACTGACTTTTCACTCATTAATTGTATAGCATGTCGCCATCTTTTCCCAGCTATCGTCGTTTCCACTGTTCTTTTAGTCTCTCGTTGTAGTTCTTGTAGCTCTGGTATGGTTTTTGTGATATTCTTTTTGTGTTTTTTTTACATTTTATTAGTTTTTTTTTTGTTGCGCGCTTTCCAAAAGTTCACCATCACTTGTGATTCCACGACATCCGACTACTGACGTCCCAGCAATTGTTTGCTCTCAATAGTGATTTAAGAATATTATATCTTTCTTTTTTCGCACATTTGAGGCTACCAGTTCTTATAATAATATGTTTCATCTTCAGTGTAGGCGACGGCCCTCGATGAATCAATGAATCGCACGATAATGATGATCGTCTTATTAATCAAGGTAAGGATCGATCGTAGTAATTGTGGTAGTAGTGATAGTGATGGTATGCCGTAATGAGGAGAATTGATAAAAGGCCTTTGCTGCACAAGTGTTGTTTGCTGTAGAAGTGTGGTTCCCTACACTGTTGTGGTGAATGTTCTCCATCCTCGAGTTTTTCTCTGTCAGATTCCCGAGCGTCCAAAATGCTGGAACTGCTGCGGATCAGCGATGTACGCCAAGGCGGATGCAGGCGCGTCGCGGACGCTGGCTCTCATCGGAGCGAAGTCAGTGTCACTGACAGATCTCATGCCTCGGTTCTACAGTATCGAATGTCCCGCAGGGATGAGCAGGTCAACGATACAGGTCTCCTCACCGGAAAGTCGGTCGAAACTAGCCGACCTCGGGAATGGATAAGCTTCAATCGACCTCCCATCGGGGTATCAGATTTGATCTGAGAGAATCCGGACCCTCTCTTCCGATTGCTTCGACACAATCTCGCGCCTTCGATACCAAACGTGAGAGGTGTTCTCGTTCTGCCGTCAATCGGCACTCCGCGAAAACGACTGTGAGCGACAGCAAAGCAGAGACGAACTGAGCAATATGAGTCGCGATTCCCGCAGAATTGACATTCTACAAACTTAGAGGTGCATTGTTTGAGCGAGAACCACCTCGAAAAACGCTCTACACGATATTCGCTTGAAATCCAAGACTAGCGTCAAAGTCGGGCTCTTACCACGAACGGACTCATGGCGCCCTCAGTATTTTCACGCACGCACGCACGCTTACTCGCACTCGATAAGCTTCTCTCAAAACGCTTCTCCGACCCCTTGACTGCTTAGCTGCATCGCTTGAACCATCGAGCTATCGAGCTGAATTTAATCAGGAAAGGGAGCCCAGTCTCCCGAAATGAGCCAATCTGGCTGCCATCGAAACAAAATATGGATTGGATGATTCGCACAAAAGGAACGTCCCGTTTTATCCGAGGTACAACGAAAAAAATTCATAGAACTCTCGGAGTGGTGGAAAGACACCTCATTCTACTCCGGAAGAGCACGCACGCCGGAGGGTCGACCCACTGAAAGTTTTCAGAACTTCTTCGGAGCCCCGGTGTTCGAGGTTGATCCAACAACGAGAGAAACTCTAGCGAAACTCATGACATACATGCGACAATCCCCTATCCTAGCTCTCCCGCTTTTCGGATGAATTACACGACGTGAAATTACCAAGGAACTTTGACGGATGGTAGAGAGGAGAGAGCAGTGGCTCTTCTTCTCCTAACCTTCACAGCTCCGGGCGACTGGGTTGCCACTACAAAGGTAGCGGGGCCCGGCAGCTAACGTACCTAGATGGTTCCACCCGAACCCAACAGTCAATCGTCGCATCAGTAACTCTCAATCCACAAAAAAACGGCAGCAAAATAATCTTAACTCTCGTATTCCTAGATTATTTATATTTATATAAATATATATCCATGTATATATATCGGAAAGGCTCAATGGAATCGTAGAACGTGTTCTTGCGTGCTTGGTAATGCTTTCCGTGTGTTTGTTTATGATGACAATGATGACTGGATCTAGCCGGCTTCGCTTTGCTGTTAGGCCAAGCGCTCGTTTCCGTTCGGGGGCCGCGCACATCGCAAGCTCAGAGGTTTCTATGCGAAATTCGCTCGTGTACCGCATGTCTTGTCGGAGTACTTAGGTCAAGAGAGTGTTCGCGCTCCTCGGCCGCGGGAATTCCCGAAGTCTTTTTTCACGCCGTCGGAGCGTCGCTCCTGTCGGAACGTCGAGGAGCCGGTGGTATATTTCTTCGAGTCGCTCCCGAAATTTCCACGCCCTCCGCATTTCGGTATTGAGTATGAAGAACAACAATGTACAATGGATGTCCCTCATATACCATCGCTAGTCACTACCAAGAGGGAGAAATGAAGAAGACAAAACGACTCAGCCTTTCCGGTCCGCGCATCGGGCAGCGGAGGAGTACCTCATTACAAGAGAACCGGGGCTCAAGCTCGGAGAGGCCACAATCGCTGAGTCAAACAGAAGATTTCTGAGTAGTACTCAAAGCCACACTTGTGTGGCTAAACAAGCGGTCAAGACACTATTTCGAACCCGGCGTTGCGGTGAACGACCAGTCCACGCTTCCGAGATGAGTTTGAAGGCCGTCGTCATCTCACTGTGACAGAGGGCTTTTCGATTTTCATAACAGTGATGCAACTATGATCCACCACGGATCATCATAGGCAGAAGGCAGAACCGCCGAGCTCCCTCGCCCGGCCTCTCAGGAAGCTCCCATTGAACTACTCACACTTTAAGCATGTTCCACAACGGTATTTATACGGGCATCGGGACAGTGATGCTTTCGCGGTTCATTACCAAACTGCCAAGTCTATTGATTTCAAAAACGATTATCTTGATCTCGCGCAGAAACTAGAGGACTCTCAATTGAACGGAACGAGTCGTTCGCGGACACGACGAGGGTGATTCGTAGCTTGTTTACTTTACAGAGCAGCTTCGCACGATCGCGCAGACCAGGAGTCCACTGGTCATTGTGTACCGTTCAAGGTTCCTGTCACACTAACGCGCACGCACTGTCAGCTTTTGCACTTGATTCTTTGTAGTTTGTATCGTCGTCGCCATCATTGTCAATAATAACGTATTTATATTAATTATTATTGTCGTTACAGCGGGTAGATGGAGGCGGCGAGAAGATTTCCTTTAAGTTCATTATCATCATAAGAAAAACAGCAACAACCGAAAACGAACCTCAGGACAGACTCTACGCATTCAGACGACGATTCCGACCCCGTCGGAATTGGGAATCTGAGGAAAAGGCGATTTCTCCACGTCCTAATTTCTAGTTCGTGGTTTTATCACTTGCATTTTCCTTCTGCCGACCAACGACGTCTCATTGAAAGAACGATCCGTCTCTGCACTCGATTCGTGAATTCTGCCTGACCACGAGATGAAAGACGCTCTTACTCCGAGAGCTTGAGTCCCGCTGAATGGCGCATCGTTTTGCCATGGAAGAACTTATTGAGACCGTTACGACACGGAGACATCATTCTGTTCTTCACCGTCGGGGAGATCCGAGGCGGAACGAGGGCGAAAAAGTTTATTCAATGAGCATGGTCATTTGAATCAGATATAGATGCTCTTGACGACTCGTCAGCCGATACCGCGGTCATGCCACTCTCCTCTCGTTCTGTCCGACATCTCTTGCTACTCGCTGGTCGACGCGACGGTAACGGGATGCGCTCATACTCTACACCGTAGACACTCTCAGAGATCGAAGAAGCTCCGAGGTTGCTGGAGTTCGCTGATTCTACGAAAAATCTGAGGCAGTCTGGCAGCATCAGCAGAAATGCATGACAATCGACAATAGTTGTGTTTGTTATTTTGTGCTTCGTCTGCACATGATACAATCAAGATGTACAGGAAAACCACTCCCGAAATCGTTTCGAGTAAGACTTCCGCCTTTACGAGCGTGGTTTTCAAGTTTCGATAGAAAGTCGCATAGACAGGATGATATCCCGGTAGTAAATCGACAGAGACACCCAAAGGTAGGTAGATAGATCGATTGATAGTTTAATATCGAAGAATAGTTGACGGTCGCACTGACGAAAATATAAGGCAGCCGTGTGGTCAATCACCGAGCCGTGATGATAATTATATCACGTTAGCAGCAGCGATCCGTGTGCCCAATTGCACAAACTTGACGCTTGCTCAAGAAGACCACGTTCGCCTCAACCAATCAGCCAAATGATCAAGTACTGGTAGAAATTTTCTAACTGAGCGGTCATCTAAGAGTTCAAGTTACCGCAGAAATAAATTGAACTGCAACGATTGTGTGCTCAGGGGTTGGTGGTCCGTCGGGACAGAGGAGACCCCCTTGTCCCTGAATGTCTCTGACCGCTATTTGTCTTATTGCGGTCAAATTAGAGCACAGCGGGAAACTACCAACAGGTAATGATTGAAATTTCGTTGGGCAGACCGGAGGATCACGGCGACATTGATTGACTCGAGTAGTGGAACGATCACCCTCGGATTCTCGGTTGCATAGCAGAAGTTTATCAAGAATTGCATCTCCCGCCGCAAAAGGAACAACAGCCTCAACAATGAAAGCCCGAGAATCAGGGTTCTGGATATCGCCTTGCTTGGAGAAGGCAGTGAATTGGTCTCCGCTGTTCGCGATCTGGAGGAATGCGTGGAAATTTCATGTATCTTTGTCTGATTGGAGTCGTCCTCTCTCGGTGAGACTTTGAAACCGTCCTCGGAGAATGCTCTTTCACTTGCCCCCGCGGCTGTAGCTGCTCTTTCTGAAAGGGGATAGTCGATGATCCCGAATCGGCCTCGATGAGCATAATCAAAAGTCTCCGCTCTGGTCTGCCATTTTGGAAATTACTTACTCAGTCCAGAAACTTGTCCCGTTCCCAATGGACTGGAATAACAAATTGGGAAACGAGCTCCTCAATAGAAACGCGCGATATTCTGGCTGTTCGACACTGTCCTGCTCCTTAAACGATTGGTCTTTTTCTCCTTATATACATGTACGACGGTTAAAGAAAACACCGTTCGGGACGGCTGAATAAAGTTAGACGATCAAATCCTCGGCAACACAGGAGAGCCTCGACCGATTTAACCGAATTCGACAATCGTCTTGAAATTGCTGCTAGTAAGTTCTGCCAAATTCTGACCAATAGGTCCCGAACGAATCGTTTGGCATGTCCTCCGACGTGCATGTGGGAAACGAGTTCATCAAAAAAAGCAGCTCCAAACACGTAGTGAAGTCGGACAGTCTCCCTCCCCCGTGTTGATCCTAGTGTTGTTTCCGTTGTTTGGGACGCTGTGTCGCTGTCCACTCTTGTAAGATCGAGTCATTCACTCTGTGCGGATTTGTGTAATTTCTGACGCTTGTTCCGACTGCTTGGGTGACTGTGTACTCAGCAGTATCGGTCTCAATCATTGTTTCGTTTTTTTTCTTGTTGCTGCTGTTGTTGTTGTTGTTGTTCTTTTCTAATTGTTGTCGTTGCTGTTGTTTGTGTCTAGTCTTCCTTTGGCCGGCCTACGCACCGTTAATGACGACTGGAGCACCCCCGCCGCTCGAAGGCGGATTCGATGAGGGATCCTGAGAATGAGCGGACGCGGGACTTGTTTGCTGGGGAGCAGGCGTCGTCAAACCATTTGGTACATCGGGAAGCGGCCAATAAGTTGGTCGCTCTCGCGTCCGTATTTCCAAATTGTCTCTGAGTTCCACGAGGGACGACTCTTTCACAGCCTAGAATGTCAGAAAGAATCTTAGGAGCCTTCACCAAACGAATGAGACGGACTGATTCGGGTTCTCCTACTCGGAAAATCCCTTCATAGACGTGGGTCTTTCATGAAACATCCTACGGAGCCTCACCTGTATGAAGAGGTTGATATCTTGCGTGAGAGCCTTTATTCTGTGGAAGCCAGCAATGAGGCTGACGGGGAGGTACCCTTCGCGATCCATTTTTTGTCGGAGGTAGAAATCTCTTTGCAGGTTCTCTTCGCTGAAGTAATATTCTACTTGTTTGCGAATGTACTCTTTGAGCGTAGGTTCATCCACGGCTGCAAGAAAAATCGGAGTTACAGCATCGTCTTGCTCTTGCGACGTGGCACGGTCTCATCGCATACCTAGACAACACGGTCAGTGATAGCTGTGGTTGCTCCGAGTGAGCGGGAAGCTCGAGCCGGAATCGATACGGAAGCGTCGGCAGTCAAAAGGATGCCTCGATTACAGTTTCACAACAATTACGCTCCTCTGTTCTCACTCAGAGGAAGGATCCGGAAGGAAATAAATCTGATTACTTCGGAGCCCGCGCGTCCGGATCGACTGATTTTACCTGATGCCAGCGAGAAAAGCCGCGAGATATCCTCTCTGTGAATTTCCACCATGGTATTCATTGTCTGCAGTTCGACAATCGATTTCAATGTGAAGCGATTCTCCGACCACTAGTAGTTCGATCACAGTCTCGAGCTAAATAAGCGCAGCAACCGCCGCGAGACACGATACACCATATGGTTGGGATTCATTGTTTTGAAGGTGCATGCGCGCCGTGCGAACTCATCACAGAACATTCCACACGTGGAGAGCGCACCGAAACAACAAAAACATCGCGCGGTCCCTGCTGCGAACGCTTAGCGCTACGCAATAAAACGGAGACACCGTAGCAGCCGCATCAAGGGCCGCGGCGACGCGACGGCGGCGGCATGACCATCATCAGCAGTTCGAGCGAACCGTCGTCCAATGTGGATGAATGGAATCAACGTTATCACTACGCATGCGCGCAGACGAATTACCGCTTCGCTGTGTCAGCTGCAGCACGCGCTGGCGTAGGAGGAAACGGCAGAGCTGACGACGCGTCTAGCGAGCGGTTACACCTGCATCAGCTGATAGCCACGAGGATAAAGCTACCGCCGGAAAACTGTGTCCGAGAACTCGGGTGTTTTAGAGGGGACCAGGTCTTTGTACTCACTGAGGTAGGAACCACCCAAGAATCCGAATCTTGGCGGAGCGACTTGCGCGATCGGCGCTGCTGGAGCACCAGCGACCACAACCGCAGCCGCCGGAGGGATGAACTGATTCGCAGGAGGCGGTGAAGGCGTCAGAGGTATACGCGGGGGAATAATTGGAACCAAGAAACTTGGAGCGGCCGCAGCTGGAATAGAATATTTCCCGCACGGTTAGTTTGAGGGGGAATAACACGAATCCTAAGACTCGAGTAACACATCTTGTACAGGGTGAGAGAAAATTCATCACGAGAACGAACCTTCCATAACGTCCGGCTGAGGGCCTGCCCTATTGTTCTGTATCGGCGTAGATGTTCTCAGCCACGACTGAGGAGTGGAGCGGCCTCTACCTCGTCCTCGGCTTCCGCCTCGGTAACCTCCCGAACCTCCGCGACCTCTACTCGATTCTCTTTGTCCGTTCATTTGAGCTCCCCCTCCAGCGGATCCGGCGCCTACGTACGACGATCCGTTGATCGATTGCCCTGTTCGGAAGATACCAGAGAAGCTTAGAATTCATTTTTTCTCACCACATACCTGATCGATTGCTTCCCTCTAGCTCTCAAGCCCACTCGAGTCGAGAGGGAGGCGAGCCCCCACGAGTTACTCGAACTTACAGTTGTTTTTGTTCGACGAGACGTTATTCGAAATTTGAGATGCATTGACAGTTTTCTGCGCGTTGTTCGAACCACGCTCGCCACGATAGGATCCTCCCGACCTCGGCTCCCCTTTCCGGTTTCCACTTACAGGCTCTATTGCTAACGGAACCCATTTTGGTTTGGCACCTGGAATGGAGAGTACCCTCATCTTAGAGAGGAACAGGAATAGGCAGGGAACGCCTCTATATTGCGGGATTGAAATGACTCGGCTTACCTTTCTTCTTGTTGTTAGAGGCATCTTTAGGAACGATGTGCTGCGCGCCGTCTTTTAAACTCTCTCTGAAATCTTCTTCAGCAAGTCCGGTAGAATCTTTCGACGCTTTGGGCGATGCAACGCTTCCGTTCGACGAAGCGCTCCCGCTTCCGATGGCTTCGACTCCGACTTCTACGACCTCTCCCAGCGTCGGCCACTCCGAAGATATCGCCGGTACCTGAGTAGTGGCAGCGGCGGAGCTCACTTTCACTGCGGGTGTCGCTCTTGCGGGACTTTGTACACAAATACTCTCTTCTGCGAAGTGAAACGACCCATCTTTATCGATCTCACATTGACCGTCCCAGCCAACAGATTCATCTGCGGGCTGAAGTAGGAGTGCACGACATCATCGTGGATATCGCTTGATACCTCCCCACTTCCGAATCAAATCGTAGGCTGCTTACGCCAGCCCAAGAATCTACCTTGATTTTCGATTGACATGTCGAACAGCGTACACCACCGGACTTGCGACCAATGGAAAATCACAAGTGAACTTCGTCTGCCGACACCCAAACTACGATACAACTACGGCGAGGCAGGTCGGGAGTACATTCCGCCGGTTTGCCAACGTCCCTAGGGATCTATGCGGAATAAGAGCTGTCGCTGTTGGCGCTTCGAGCCATTGGCGCTCCTCCGCCATATGCTCCATCGACGACGTCATATAGACCCGTGTGGTCTTCTGCTAACGGCAGAGTCGGCAACAGCGACAGCGGAATCAAAAACGCTCGCTCTCACATCCATGGTGACGTCATCTGTCCTTTCGAGTAGGTTTTCGGCGCCACTCAGTGTTTCTACGGGTCGCACAAATACACAGTGATATCGAGTCGATCTCGAAAGTCGACTAGTCGTCAATCGCGTTAGTTCCCGATGGACGCAGAAGCGTTACAACAAACAGCGCGGCGCGATCTCCCTCTTTGTGTGGCTCTTCCCGACTCTCCGGCCTAAAACGATCGACGCCAGAAACGTGCCATGCGAATCTGGCTTCTTCTCGACATATATACGGCTTGCTATCACATATGCTCACTTAAGATACATACTAGAGGATTATAATAGATCGGGCTCGAGGTGCGCCACGTTGACCTTGTTCGGGAGACGCTATCACGTCAACTAGCAACGATATCACGGTGGCACTCAGAAGGATTCTCGCAGTCTGGGTGATCGGAGCTATTTCCAAGATGCCACGGCAGAGGCTGGTCTCAAATGTCACTCAAACATCCTACGAATTTCGCTTAGAAGTCGAGAGACAGTCGAGGAGCACGACGGGAATCGTTGTCGCATCTGACGCTGATATCTAGATGAGCGCACTCGCTTTGAGGTCTGAGACTGGGAGCGGCCCTCCATATTTCTCTCAGAGAAGAATGCCCAAATGCGCTTCATCGGTTGATGCCCTCGCGTACAATCGTTGCGGATAATACGACTTTTTGGAAGTCAGAGTCGTGAAACCGCTCTTTCAATCACGTAAGTCCAGGTGGTACGGGGTGTTCAGGGCAAATGACATACTCCTCTTCGGAAATAGTCAGCGCTGCCAGATTGAGACATGATTATCTCGCCCGTGGTCTAATAATGATTCTATAATTCTCCAGGGGCGGAAAAGCGTTCTGGCGAACATCCCTGTTTTCTAACACGTGACGTCAATGTCAGATTGAGCTTTTGAATGATCGACTTACCACTTAGAGCTGCAGCGTCAACGTGATTCCCGTCCAAGTATCCATTGCACTCCAACTGCTGCAACGAACCCATAATTGAATGTGAGATCACATCGGAATCCGATGATCGGGATTTTGATGTCCGAGGCGACAAGATTGTTCGGTCGTTTTTTCAGAATACTCATCCGTTCATCTGTTTCGAGCTCGGCAACGGACAACGGGGCCGGGAGCGATTAGAAATGAATGAATAAACAGAGGAATGCTTGCTGACGCTTACCTCGTGGTGATCAGCAAGAGCGAGGCTAGCGGATTTCGGAGGTTTTTGAGGATTGGGTCTGCTTCGACCCGAAGGCACAACTGCAAAGAAAAGGGCATCGCTAACGTCTCCCGTTGCATATGTAAAGCGCCGAGCGAACTCTTGGGGGAAACTCCCTGCACAGAGTTGTCTATGGGTGCTACCTAGTTCCGCGAAACTCGCAGATCAAGGGAATATTTCAACGAGAGTTACTCTCAAGGACAGATTCTGGAAATATAGCTGATCCGCCCGAATTCAAATCCATGCTCTCGATCGGCAGCCCGATCGAATGAGAATACTCGGCCGTCTATTAGTTGATTTTCCATGGCTGTTCGATCGAAGAGCAACGCAAACAGTGCAGGGAGGAGTCGAGCGAATGGATGAGGTTATTGATTGGCTAGCTATAGGTCGATCCGGAACATTACTCACCGGTTCCTTGAGAGTTTGGCAGCGATGGCGGTGGTGGTGGTGGCGGCGAGGACGTTGTCGTCGTCGTCGACGCCGTGGTAGTAAACGACGACGGTGACGGCTGCTGCTGTTGTTGTTGAGGCAAAGGCGACGTCGTGGTAGCCGTCGTTGGTGCTGCCGTTGTCGTCGACGGATGCGATTCGGAAGGCAACGTGACGTCTGACGTAGGGGATGGAACTGAGGAGTTCGTTGAATTCACTTTGCTATTGGGCACAGCGGTACAACTGTTGGCATTGAGGGCATCGGGAAATTCCATTTGTTTTTGAGCAATAATGTGGGCGGCGTTTCGATTCTTCGTCCAAGGATTCACTAACGGGGGAGGTGCGAAAACGAACTCTTCTTCACCTCCAGAGCCTTTTTTATCTGAGCCCGCTGCACCGGTAGCGCTACTAATGCTGCTGCTCGTATCCTTGGTCGGTTGCTCGCGCGAGGGGGCGCCCGCCCCACGCTCACTAGTCTCACTTGTTCGCGACGAGGGTCTCTCCGGACGAGATTTCCGTCGATCTCTTCGTTGCTGATTCTCACCGCCAGTCTTTCTGCCAGGATTCGATTCTTTCCGGGGAGGTTTCGAGGTGGACGAACTGTTCGTTGGACTGGTACTGTGAGTGTTGCTGATATTGTTATTTTCATTGATATTGTTGTTGCTGTTACTACTGTTGTTATTGTTGTTGTTGTTGTGCTTGGTCGCCGCCTGTTGCTGCGCTTGTTGTGGTGGCTGTTGCTCGACGGAAGTGGCGAGATCTTCCACGCCGATTGCTCCTACTTTTGTCGCCGCCATGGTTTTCTCTATAGTCTCAGACACGTCTGACTCCGTTGATGGAGCAACAACACAAGAATGGACAATGCACCTCCAGTAGTTCTTCTCGGAACGACGGTCCGACGGAGCACTCACACACAACTCGAAGTTGACACTAAGGGATCAGGACTGACTGAGGAGTCCCGACCGCAATTAACAGCAGGATAAAGGGGGCAAAACAGAGGATCCGGTCACGTCTCGGTGACCTTCCACAGATGAAAGCGATGTCTGTGTGATATTTTCGGCTGAACGAGATCCCTCCTGCAGCGGCTAACTACTGGATCCTTCTCGATAGGGTCTTCCGTCAGTGAGAGAGTCTTTTTCCTCTCGGTAAGTTTGTCTATACGGACGGGATTGCTCGTCCTTATTCCCCTACCACAGGACGGTTGCGTTGGGAGAGCATCAGCTGACCTGTAAAGGAGAAAACGAGAAATTCCTGTGAGTCGGCTGGAAGGACTTCAAGTTCACGGGTAGAGGTTCGGAATTTGAACAAAGCGATCGAGAAATTCCGACAGCGGAATCCGGAATGAAATCGCGTCGCAAATGAGAGGTCACGACTCATAACGACCCTCTCGAACTGACAAACACTGACGGAACAGCTCCGACTCGGCACTCGTTCTCAACTCTATGCGATCAGGAATCCGCCTATCACGGAACGGTTCGATGCTTTCCGCGAAGAACGGTATCTTTATCTCCACGTCGTCTTTGCAAACGGGGGTTTTCTTTTTGGTTTTTCCTCTCTCCTCGCCGGTGGTAGTCAAATGATGTTCTGGATATGTTCCGGGAGAGAAGGCGTGGTCCCAGAGGTGAGAATCGACTCACTTTGGCGCTCGGTGAACTCGCCGACGGGTATTGGAACACGAAACCATCTGAACCTGAGGAACGCGGCATTAATCCGACTCAAGATGATTCTGTGTGAGATGTTTTCCCCTACTGTATTGAGATGGCCTACGTTCGAATGGTGGTGGGTGAACTGTGTGAGTCTAAATCCCAGACACACGCAACTGAAAAGGGCCATTTCGAGTAAGTCAGGGCCCCTCCGCGACAGGCTTCCTTCACGAGTCAAGTCGAGCTGGCCACCAGCATCGCTGTAAGCAACGGCACCGCCACAGGGTCTTACTCTATGGCGTTCGGAACCCGGCAAAGGCGAGGCTGGTTAGTTTACTGCGCCGGTCGTCGCCGCTGTAGGTGCCGCGCAAGAGGACAGGGCGTCGATACCGCCGCTCTTAGGCGCGACTCTTGAAGTTCCGTCAGACTCGAACGATTATTATATGCGTTTCCGCAACCCCGAGTCCTGTGGGTTCGTCCCTGGCACAACCACCTCCCCAGCTCTTCTGATAATCTCTAGAGGACGGCGGGGGACTCCATTTGACGGAATCAGTTAGGTAACCTCGGTCGGTCCCCGCTCGTCGATCTTAGGGACTCAAGGGAGAAACAAGCCCCCCGATCGTCCACCCGAGAATGAGCTCTCGTTGCCGGTGTGATGTACTGGGCTCCAGGTGAATCTGCGATGTACAGGCGGACCCGCTTATAAGAGATACGCATTTGAGAGACTTGCGCTTATAAGAGACAGATTCTATTCCCCGGTTTCCGAGCCCATAGTCTCCCATTTTAAAAAATTTGCGTATAGGAGACTCGAAAACTCGCTTATAAGAGAAACTCGCTCATAAGAGACTCGTCACGATTCCCCTTCTCATAGGATTCCATGTTGAAAGATTCGCTTTTAAGAGACAGGTCGAAGCACTTTCACTACGAAACGATTTGTTCCCGATTGCGACTGCTTGTTAGGCTTTCAAGACGCGCCTTAGGCTAACGTATGCGGGCCCGTGAAGAAAGGTTCATCATTTCCAACCATTACATCCGCGATTGGGTGTTTCCGCGCATAAGAGAAACTCGCTTATAAGAGACTTTTCACGGTTCCCCGAGGTCTCTCTCATAAGCGGGGTTGACTATAAATTCCGATGCAACCCCTCAACGATTGAGTCCAGACTCGCGGGTCCAGGTATCGAACGAAGAAGGGAGAGCCATGATGGCAACAGATCGCAGCGAGGAAGATTCAGAAAGAGAATCGAATTCGGAGAGCGTGAGGAAGAAACTGTCGTTTGCGCCGTCGTTCACCTCTGGCCACTCGGGTCTCACTGTTGAAGCGATCGCGGACCAGCTTCCCGATTGCGGCTCAAGCTGTTGTAGACAAACCTAGCAGCTACAAGCAAGCTTCCGACCGAGCGGGCGACCGACGGACGCACCGATAGCCCAACCAACTATTCAACCAACCATCCAACCAAGCCACCGACCGAGTAGACCGACTAGGTGAACCAGACGCGGGAGCAAGAGCTAGACGAGACGATTATGTACCCTTTCATTCACACGCATTCGGCTACGAGCAATGTACGACACCTCCCTCGAAGTCTCGGAGACTCGATACACTGATTGGGCATTTCTCTCCGACAATCCTATGCTAGGGACCCGATTCCGGGATATTTTCAGTTTGTCAGGGGAACTGTAACCCCGGCAGGGAGAGGTCCGCTCTAAGCCACACCTCCGGAGCACCCTGATACCGTCTCAAGTTTCGGGAGGAATGAGGAGTCTGGGAAGCCTCTTGGAATCTTCTGCTCTTCGGTCCGTGCTCCGTGCGGGGTCGAAAGCACTTCCAACGATTTCCAAGAGGAGCATATTCGACCGCATTTTTTTCTACATTTTGTCCAAGTTTGACAGCGCGGGTGCTCGAGTCGCCTGTGCCCCTTGCTCACGGCGATGGCTCTTCGTATGCTAGCACTGTTCGATGCCGTTTCGGCGGATCGTCTCTTATCGGCACCACTCGCGGAGCGAGCAGGCGAAGCGGCGTCCGAATGCCATCAGCGATGAGAGACGCTGCCTGCCTGCCTGTCTGCCTGACCGCATGGCCGCTGTAGTGGGTGCTGGCGAAACTGCTCGTTTTCACAGATTTCGGGGGAGAAGCAATATCGAGTTAGGCGGGTCGTCTCCAAGAAACAACAAAGCGTGTCGCTAACCGTTCCAAGTCTCCGACCATTGAATTTGGCTATTAGCCGAACGAAGCCTCGCGAAGTATCGGAATGGAACCCCAGCGCCCACTGGCGGTACCTAGAACTCGGCCCGAAAATCACCTCGCGGATAAATATGAACTAGGGCCGAAACGCTGGGCTGGCTTCTCGGTCTCAACAGGAAACCCCGGCTCGATTCAGGGTGCTTGGGCCGCGAGCGTCAGCTATCGAACGCTCCGGGGAGGAAAAAAACAACCACCTTTGCGCCCGTCAACGATCACGCTCGTTATCTACAAGAGCATAAAAGTCTTCCCTGCATCGATTCGCCTGCATGCCGACTGAGGATCGTACGAAACGAAAAAAAAACGAACAGAAAATTTTTCTACAGTGGCTCAGCCACACCACGTGATACCGCTCTACCAGACGTTCGTCGGCTTCCGTCCAGCCAGCGGGTAGCAAGCTTGTCGGCTAACCACCACGCAGCCAATGAGCAAGGCTAGGCAGACAGTCGTCGTCAGGCTGCCCGTCTGCAGAAGAATCTCCGCCCAGGAGCCAACTCGTTCGCTCGTCCGTCCGTTTTTCCGTCTGTCCGACCGCTTTCCAGTTGAAGCAGAGCTACGAGTAGGGTTGAAGCAGCAGAAAGGCGCCGTGAATGACGCGCCACGTGCACTAGGCTGTTATCGCCACGAGACGGAAACCGTCGCGCCGTCCTCGCTGCATTGCTCCTCTAATTTCAGCGATTGAACGCTGAAAATACCGTCCAAATGCTGAAGTGGGTAGCCCTGAACGAAGGAACGTCGTCCTCTGATTGAGAAACTCGTATTTCTCATATCTTCCCGAGTACAGACACAATGATATCGAAACAAGATAAAGGACTCTATCAAAGCTGTTTCTTCGAGCTGCTCAAGCTGCAGCAAAGAGAGACCGCTTCACTCGTCAAAACGGACAGTCGACGGCGGCATCATGCCAGGAAATCTCCTCGCGCGTCTGGTAGCTACTCTGTGTGGAAATTCAATCGAAAGGGGCGAGGAAAAGTGTGAGCAGGGAGATTGTTCTCGAACGTGAATTCGTTATCCGACCCATTAGAACCCGAGTTCGTCTCGAGAAACCGCTCCCGAGACAGTTCGGATCCATGAGCTTGACGATCCTTTTTTTTCTCGAGGAAATCCCAGCCTGGCAAGGGCCGGTTTCTCGTAACGGCGACCCAGTGCCTTCTTGAAGGCAACGCCGAGTGAACTATAGAATTCAAATACGTGGGGTGGCTCCTCGCTTGTCTTATCACGTGAGAAGGAGAACCGTCGGATGATGATGGACGTGGAGGAACTCATCGAAACGTATTCCCCGACGAATGAGTATTTCATTGCGCAAGCGTGGAGCGCCTCCGAGCGTCGTGAGAGCGACAACCGTTCGAGCGACCAATGAATGAGCGGTCCTCCACCAAGCAACGAGACTCGAACGGACAAGTGAAAAATACGCTTGTTAAGTCGACTCCGCGATTTTTTCAACGTTGCTTCCCCACCTTAGATAACGGACGAGAAGATCGACCGACCGACCGACAGGCAGCCAGACTGGCGGACGGACAGACAGACCGACTGACCAAGCACACGACCAAGCAAGCGACCGGCAGACCAACCAGCCAGCCAGCCGGCTGACTGATACACACAGTCACAATTCACACACGCTCTCACAAACAAGGAGACGGTCGCGACTGACCCGAACACAATAAGAGAAGAGCATCGTACCTCACTTGCTCAAGCTCGCAGCAAGACCAATCGTGACGAACGATTTAGACTAGGCGCTTGAAAAATCTCCTATTACTCCAATCAAGGGCGAGCTCATCCAGACCGTACGTTCGGTCGTAGGCGGCTATGCACTCGGCTTCCGAAAGTCTCCCCTTTCAGAACAGCTCCGGAGTCCTGGATGCTCAGACAATCCATGGCACAATGAACCTTCCTCCATGGGGAGATAAATTCAAGAGCC